CGAGCGGGGAGGCCGAGAGGAGCTTCAGGAGGTTGTCGGTGTAGACTTCGCCGCCGTAGGTTCCTGTGCCGGGAACGAAAATCAGGGGTGGCTTTTGGCCGTAGGTGAAGGAAGGAGGGATGAAAATTGCTGAGCGAAGGTCCTGCTCCGACTGAGAGTAAGGGGCGTCGGATTTGCCCTTCTTGGGGTAGATGGACTTCTCTGGGTTCTTGGGGTTGTTGTTGTTCGTCGAGCCTAGGGGGGTGTAGGGTGCGACTAGGTCGGCGGAGATGTCGGGGACGCTGACGTTGGCGTCTATCTGGGCTTTTACGCCGACGTAGAAGTTGGTGTTGCCGCTGCTCCAGATGGAGGCGAGGCTAAGGCGAAGTTCGGCTTCGGTCTTCGGTGCCGGCTTCATGGGCTTGTTGGTCAGCAAGCCGCTGAGCACGCCGGTCTGGTTGTTGAAGTTGGCCTTCCAGGCCCCCAGTTTGGTGAGCAGGTCATCGTTCGAAGGCCGACCGGTGGATTTGGAAGGCAGCGCATTTGCAGCTTGGAGAAGCAGCAGCAATGCCGAAGGGAGATGTGTAGTGATATGCATCTTGACAATCACAATACCGCTGGGTGCCGAGGTCTTGGCCGAGTAGAGACCAGGAGTGGTCACGCTGGAACGAAGGCAGACCTCTGGAGGACTTATAGTCCATCGCGGGCTATCTCACTTATATGACCAACGACATCCTCTGCCCATGGAGCCCCGGCTTGGAGGGTTCACATGCCTAGCTCCGCTGCCGAAGAGAAGACACGGCACTTGGATCGAGTCAATCACTTCCCGAACCAGTTAACTATTCGTGATGTTCCCAAGTCTGCGGTCACGGTGTCTCGCTTCCCCACACGATGGTTACCGTGCTAGTCAAGCTAGTATTCTTAGCGGATGCCGATCCCCATCTGAACGGCCAAGCGCCATTGGTGATGCAATTGATCGGTTTCTGGGATGTTAAACATCCCTGACATCCAGACATGCCAGGGTACACAGGACTTGTTGACTCGTGTGGCCCACCAGACTTTGAGGTTCTCCAGGTCCGTATCAAGTCTACGGGTGGGCGACCTCCAAGCCTAATGCAAAATGTGTGGTGTTCTTTCTATGACGAGCATCGCCACTTTAGTTTGCTCGGTATGGATCTCGTTAGCCCCAAATGATATAGGAATTCCTGGCGCTCCTCGGGGTCCTCGGTTTTCTAGCTTTTCGGGCTCTTGAATTCCATATGTAAGCCAAGAAGACGATGCGAGTGACGTTTGTCGCTCAGAGTCCAACATCTGCTTTATAAGCTACCCTAGACGTGCATCCCTAAGCTCTGGAGACGTCATCCTTGTGTGTATGCTCGACTGTCTCAAGCTCTACCTGAAGCACTTTGTCCACGTTCCTCTGTACCTGGTCTTGGACCTCTTTGCCTTCAAACATGAAGCTGAGCTCTTCAAGAGTGCGGTTGTGTGTCTCCGGGAAGAGTAGATAGACGGTAGCGATCTCGACGATGATCCATATACAGTACACGATGTAGTACTTCCACCCTATAGCATCGAGAGCGATCGGATTGACATAGGTGTTGAAGAAAACGGCGAAGCGTACGGTAAGTTGTTCCACGGCAATACCCTTTGCGCGTTGCTGAAATGGGAAGATCTCAACCATGTACGTGTAAGCGAGGGCGTTCCACCCAATGTTATAGAACCTATGCAGTGTGAGTCAGTCATGCCATCGCTACATTGTAGAGGAGACCGTTATTGGAGAATACTTACGGAGAGTAGAGGAAGATGAAGACAAGCACGGGTATAGCTGCTTTAGAGCTATTGTCCATGGCAAACCTGGCCGAGGCAACCGTCCAGACTGTATAGACCACTGCAGTACCAATGGTGCAGGTCAGGAACATCTTCCGACGAGCAAACCGCGGCGCAATCAAGGCAATGGGCACCGCGTTGATGAGACCCCAGCACGTATTGCTGAGAATGACCTTCTGAACAATTCGATCGTCCTTGATTCCGACCAGATTGAGGATCTTCTTCATGTAAAAGGACAGCAAACCGTTGCCGCTCCACTGTGTGAAGAAGCCGACGATAGCAGCGATGGTGAACCGGCGGCGCATTGGCGGATCTCGGATAACATCTGCCCACACAAACCTCGACTCCAGTTTCTTCTCCTGGGCGATTGTAGCTTGAATCTCGGCAAATTCGAGTCTGACGAACTCCTCACCATCAGCTCCCTCGCTGTGGTACTTCTGCAGTATAGCAAAAGCCTCGTCGCCTCGGTCCTTGGAGATGAGCCATCGCGGTGATTCCGGGCACCACGACATGAAGATCATCTGGCACATGCTAGGCACAAGTTGGAGAAGACTTGGGAGCCTCCAGGCCCATGTGCTTGACATTTGAAAAGTGCCGTAAGTTGTTCCGGCAGCCACAATGGCACCTACGAACCATGACGCATTGAATCTTGTGGCAGTCAGTCGTGTCATGCCCACTGCCAGGAAAGGGGTTCGTGGACCTACAGAGACGTCATGATCGGGCGCTCCTTGGCATATGACAATTCTCCGATGAGAGAAGAAGCGTTGACAATGGCAAACGGAATGCCAAACCCAAGAACCCATCTTGAGGCAAGAAACATGTCTGAGTTCTGTGCGCCCGCTTGCAGGCCAGCACCTATGCTCATGATGGCAGAGGCAAAGAGGATGGTGTAGCGCCGGCCGAGAACCTGGCTAACAGTTGGGATAAAGGGAATGGCCATAAGGGCGCCAAGAGAGTACATCGCGTTCAGAAGACCCAAACGAGAAGAGTTCGGGTTGCCGAAATCTGTTCAGAATTTCGTCAGCTTTAACAATATGCAACTGTCACAAGATCAGGGCGCAACCGACATGTGACCCAGGAATTGACAGCCTGCAGACTGTTCATCATCGAGGAATCGAACCCACTTGTCCATTCAACCCCTAGAGCTGTTGGAACGAGGATGAGGTAAAGGAACCTCAAATGTGGTTTCTTGTACCATATCTTCGTGTCCGCTTGCGCGATGCGTTGCAAGCGAGGCTCGACATGCTCTTCTCGAGCTCCCAGAATGGCCATTTGGAGGTCGTTGTCGCGCTGACTGTCTCTCAATAGAAAGATTGCTATGACCACGAAAAGAGCCGTGTCGGACCTCTACCCTTATACTCTTGCCCAGGGCGCTGTCCATCTTGCTTCCGGATACGCGGGGAAGCTTGGCCAAGACACGGGATCGTGAACCCAGCCACACATCATCACTGAACCCGCGAGTACCAAGATGTGGTCAGCAAATTGGAAGTGTTGGTAGACCATCAACCTGCCTAAAGCCGACCTCTTGTCATCTGCACGGTCTGAGGGGTCCATATTGGGAGCTCGGGGGGAGGCTGCCCGAGGAATTACCCTGCACTTTCAGTCACTGCGAGTGGCAGTTACAAGTTGCGCGGCGGCGAACTGCACAAACTAGCCATTCTAGCGTCCAGAACATCCTCACTTCAAACACTACTAAGTGGCTGTGGATGTGAAAACACAATGTTCACTGTCCGCAGGATGGATGCCATGTCCGATGCCGAGCTCTGTGGACTACAGAGATGTCTGGAGGGAGAAGAATCTGGAGCGGTGCATTCTGTGATCTCGCAGGCATCAGTTGAAGGAGGGAAGTTCCAGGTTCATGGAATAATTGTTGGTTGATTGTTGAACTGTGATTGCTGGAAAGAGCTTAAATACAGTGTGGAGCCCGACACATGTTGCTTGATGACTAAGCAGGTCTTCCTGATCTTGCGCCTGGCAAGTGACCATCGGCTGTCATTTCAATAGCAACATCGACCACAGACGGCAGCAAAGGCGGAAATGGCATCGAATTTCGCCCGGTTTCCCCTGCCTTTCAAGGTTGGGACCGATATATGCCGAACCTCGCGGTTGAAGAACCTTCTACAAAAACGTGGGGGCGAAAGATTCATCAATCGAATACTCACAGAGGAAGAAGTGAAGCTTCATAGCAGAGTCCTGGTTCCATTCTTGGAGGAGCGCAAGGACGGCCAAATGGTCATCTACACCGGAGAAGAAATGAAGGGAAAGGCCGGTCCTATCGAGAAAGTGGCCCCATTATTGGCATCTCGGTACGTATTCTTCCCAAGAGATAGGCTGCGGACACGGCGTGCGGACACCATGCTCATGCGTTTTCAGGTTTGCGGCAAAGGAAGCTGTCATCAAAGCAAGCGAAGACAGGATTAGTTTCCACGATATTCTTATCCTGAAGAGGACGACAGGCGAGAAAAATGGCGAGCCATACGCTGTCATCAAGGCTGGCAAAGGGAGAAAAGAGGCTCGGGAAGCTTTGCTCAGCATCAGCCATGACGGAGACTACACGACTGCCGTCTGTATAGCGGCTACTGAGGAAATATGGCTTGCTGCGCCGAAGGAGCTAACTAGCGCAGCAGAGAGGGAAGGGGAAGTGGAGTGAAGCCGGAGGATAAAGACGCACACACAGAAGAGCTGTCGTGCTTCCTTACGATGATATAGGCTGGATCATGCCGAGTCTCAACCACGTGTACCAACAGTAACTGTGAAATACCCCTACAATGGAAGTTTCAAGACTCAGGTCCCTACACCTGTGTTAGGATTACGCATATTAGCGCAGTACAAGTCTACAAGGTATTACATGACTCCAAGCGTCTCGTCGTCTCATCCTCTAGCCTCTAATACTCTACTTATTTTGTCGTCTCATCGTCTAATCGTTTAATCGTCTAGTCGTCTCATCGTCTCATCGTCTAATCGTCTCGCCGTCTCGCCGTCTTATCGCCTCATCGTATCTTGTGATTTTGATATCCGAGATTTGCAAGAGCTGGAACCATTTGCAAGGTACCCCGCTAACATGTGTAATCCTACCACAGGTATATTTTAGGTTCCCTGTGGCTGACCAAGGGACAGCATGACTAATCACCACGTGATCGCTGTATACATTTAGTCCTATGAACTACATTACATTGGAAAAACTTCCATCAATCGGTGGAGTGGCGCAATGGTAGCGTGCGGTCCTCCTACTGGCTTCGGCAAGTTGTGAGAATCTCGATAGACTGAGGTTGTGGGTTCGAGTCCCATCTCCATCGATTCTTTTTTCTCTTTTGCACATCCGAGCTGGTAACCAACGGCAGGCAGCCTTTTTCATCTTCGTTTTGGCTCTTGAGCGAGGGGTTTTGCTGGCAGCTAGTCGCCCGCGTTTGCTTGAGGACTATCCTCGGCGGCATTAACGAACGCAATTAACCACTACTTCCGAGTTTCCCCTTGTGCAATAATCTGATCTTTTCCAGTTTGCTCGAACAACCTCGCTTTCGGCGACGTGGGCAGCCTCTTGGTTTGATACCTGCGATTAGCTTTTGGTCTTCTTTTAGCCAGTACATGTGTGGTGCGGTCCGGGTGACGTGCAGTGCAACGAGTGTTGTGCAGAAGCCGGGAAGTGTCCGTTGTGATGAAGCCTCTCCCTGGCCTTTCCTCTTACCTGGAAGTCACCATTGATGGAAAGATAACCGTGCTGGATATATGTACTGATCATGGGATAAGATCAATGAGATCAGTCCTACGTCGCACTTCCTTGTGTTCCAGGCTTCCTAGCGTCGCTGCTGGTGGTAGCATCGGCATCGACATCGACAAGGGTTACTTGTTGTGATGCGTGGAGCTGCCGATAATGCTGTCTAGGCTGAGCACCAGGTTACTGTTTCGTCGCGATAGCAGTAGTCCTGCTGTGGTATGTGGAGTGGGACAGACTCGTCAGAATCGTCCTGTCGCAGCACCTGTAAGTAAACTCACGGTGAGCGGTGACTTCCTGGTAGTTGACCTTCATCTGTCCAACGTCTTGTGATTATACTGCATGAAGGTCGCTCTGTGATTGAGGTGAATTGCCACTCTTGGGTCGGTTCAGAGCCTGCGAGCTGTGGCTGGTCAAGGCGAACGAACGGTTGCTAGGTTCACTCGTGGTCCATGGACCAGCAAAGAGTCTCTCGCTGCCAGTCTAGTACTGTTGACTTCACACTCGCCCTTCGATTGCTGTGGTTGGTTGGTTCGCGCGAAGAAGGCCTTGTTTTAGCTACTCACAGTCACCTTCTCCTCAGGTTTTTGATCCAAGTCGCGACATTATAACCTCTCAACCTCCAATACACTCGACAGCCAAATATATTAACTCCCTCTACTTCGCTCCTATATTTAGTCGAAAGTAGCGAGATGGGCTTTGTTGCGTTTGCTTGGCTCCTCGCCGCCGTCTTTCTCTCTGGGGGTTGCTGTTTGCACATTCAACCTGACGATATCGACACCCAACTGCTTCCGCAGTATGACTACATCATAGTTGGAGGCGGCATCGCAGGGCTGGTGACTGCTAATCGGCTCACGGAGAACCCCGAAGGTTACTCATGTCCCATCCTGGTTGAACAAATGACAATCCGCTAACTCATGTTTCCACAGTGTCTGTTTTAGTACTCGAGGCAGGACAGCTGTATGCTATTGTTATGGTCATTGTGCGGACTGATGCTAAATGATACCAACAGAGACACCGATGGCGAAATAGTCACCATACCCGCCCTCATCGGTCAGGACCTTTGGACCAATTACGACTGGAACTTCAGTACCACGGCCCAGAGCTTTCTGGACAAGGGTAAGCGCCCGTTTAATTCTGGACGTGTTGTAGGAGGCAGCAGTATCTTGAACGGCTTGGTGTGGACGCGTGGCGCGAAATCTGACTATGATGCCTGGGAAGCCCTGGGCAATCCGGATTGGGGTTGGAAAGATCTTCTCCCTTACTTCGACAAGGTAAGCTACATCCAGTGCCCAGTATCTTCCGATCACTTACTGAGTGAGACGTCAGAGCGAAACATTCACGCTTCACCCCGAGCATAACACCACCAGCGATATTCACGTCGATTCCGACATCCCGGAACATGGACGGGATGGACCAGTCCAAGTAGCCTACCCCAACTTCATCTACGAACAGTCAAGTACGTACCCACGGGGCAAATTCGTTCCTCCAGAATCTTACTAGAACACAGACAGCTTCCTGCAGGGTATTGCTTCACTTGGCGTGCCATTTTTGGAAGATCCGAATAGAGGCCTTGTTGCCGGTGCTTCGATCGCTCCTTCGAGTATGCATCCGCTGAATCAGTCAAGATCAGATGCCAGAACGGCATACCTAGATACATCCAACCGTGACAATCTGCATATTGCCACGCAGCAGACAGTCACGCGGATATTGATTGGAAAGAACAATGCTACGTCCTCTACGCCTCCAGTCCCGCCCTTTGGATTTCTTCGACGAGCCTTTGGCGTAGAGGCGAGTACTTCATTACCCTTGATAGGAACTCTTGCTGACTGATGACAGTTCGCACCGACATCCGGAAATACGAGACGCAATGTCACTTGTTCCAAGGAAGTCGTTCTGGCCGCTGGTGCTCTCATATCTCCCGTGGTCTTGCAAGTCTCCGGCATCGGTCCGGCAGAGACACTTCGCTCGATCAATGTCACAGTCCAAATCGATCTCCCGGGGGTCGGCGAGAACTTCCAGGATCATCCTATGGTTGGCGGGTTCTACAAGTGTGAGTCAGGCTTTGGTTCTTGCGTCTAGTGGGCGTCTCTAACATACGTCTCCATACAGACAGCAACTCTAGTGTCTTTTCAGCCAACAACCTGACAGGTGAACTTCGTCAAATAGCTCACGACTTATACTATAACAATCGGACGGGGCCATGGACAGCGCCCCTGATCTCTACGCTCGCCTTCCTGCCTCTTCACCTCCTCACGTCAAATTGGACCACCTTTCTCGCCCAAGCCAGCGCTTCGCCCGCGCCGCACTACCTTTCAGAAGAGACAAGACAACATCCCACCGTGGTGGCAGGCTATGCCCTCCAGCGGCAAATTCAGCTCAACCTCCTCAAGCGGCCCGACGTCGCCGCCTCGGAGATAATGGCCGACAGCATCGGCACTCTATCAGTAGCCGTGATGCGCCCCTTCAGCCGCGGCACAGTCCGCGCCCTGCACGCGGACATCCTCACTCTGTCCTCGGAAACCATAGCCATCGACCCGCGCTACTGCTCCGACCCGACAGACTGCGCCCTCCTGACCACAGCCCTGCGCTTCAACAACCGCCTCGTCAACACAGCCGCGATGCAGGCCCTGCAACCGGCGCCGTCGTGGCCGTGGGTCGGAGCGGAGGGAGAGACAACCCAGCAGGAGGAGGCGCGGCTGCTGGCTGCCGTGGAGGAGTACCTGCGCACCGAGTTCCACCCCTGCGGCACGACGGCCATGATGCCGCTCCCGCTGGGGGGTGTGGTCGATCCGGAGCTGAAGGTGTACGGGACGGAGAACCTGCGCGTCGTGGACGCGGGCGTCATGCCGCTTATTCCTGGGGCGCATCTGCAGGCTACTGTCTATGCTGTTGCTGAGAAAGTGAGTTTGTTGATCGTAAGGTGCATATGTGTATGGAAGCTGACCGGTGGAATCGTGTAGGCTGCGGATATCATCCTTTTGGCGGGTCAGGGTGGTAGTCGTGGGCACAGCAAAGATAAGGGGCCTCACCCTTAAGGGCTTCATGGAGATTGATGGCATGATTCGTTGTTCCTTGGAGGGAACCGAGGGTTACGGGTTCGCTGTACAGAGCAAATAGAGACTATGCTATAGAGGAGTGCGGTGGCTGTCCCAGCCAACTAATCGTCAAAAATATTCCTACGACAGTTAAGCAAGTCTACGTATAGTACTGCGATCATGACGCTTCTGACGACAATATCCTTGCCACCCTTGAGTGCTCATCTGAAAAGTTACTGTCTCATGCCTGTCCTCACCAAGGCATCTTCAGGGCGCCATCGGGAAACCCCATCGCTCTAAGATCTTGAACCGGATCTCTTCTTTTGTAGTGTAGCCCCTTTAAGCTCGGCCTTTATCCCCCTGGATCTGCTTGCAGGTACCGAGGGCCAACCAATATATCAACTTGGTTGCCTCCATGCCCTCCTCGCCATATCCCGCCGCCTCTCCCCTTCTGTTGCATTGCGTACGCAATCTGCGAAGTCTTGTGGCACAGATCGCACGGAGGGATTTCTGATCCCACCCGTACGCCTTCGCCTCTGGCTTGGACAGGGCGTGGAAGGGGTAAAACACGGGCCCGGAATGCTTGGAACGCGACTCGATCGTACAATAGTACTCGAACTCAGAGGCGCTGAGGCCGTGTTTCGCTGCGATTGTCTGGGGAGTCTTGTATATCGCTTCGTCAGCAGATCTTTGTTCCCGGCTGACCGGCATTTTTCGACCAGTGTCATCCCCGAAAGTTCGGAACAGCTTTCGAGCTGGCCACTGCGCGAGGTCTGCATCCAACTCGGCGGTTCTGACTCCTGTACGAAGCATCTCGAGGACGGCCTTGAGCCTCTCGGGGGTCCATGAGGCCCATCTCTGCAATTTGGAACGATGGTAACCATAGAGTCCGTACAACGACGCCAAGATAGACGTGTTTGTGGCTGCGTTGTATGCCCAGGCCCACAACCGCTTCTGTTTGTCGAAATCAGGACAGTCGTGCGCGGCAAGCCACGCCGCCATTACTGGCAGAATCAGCGGTATGTGCTGGTTCGACGGGGTCCGGCCGGCCTGCGGAGAGCCTCAAAGTGGTCGGTGTACTCGTCCACGGTTGCCGAACCGTCGCTGGAGATTTAGACCCAGACAACCTCGGTGGCCGCGGTGGTCTTGGCGTTTTCGTAGATGTTGACGAGCCCGGATCTTGTTAAGACGCCGAGTATCAGGTCGCGATCATGGAGTTGGGCCCACAACCCTAGGATGAGGCCGAGCTGGTCGCTGCTGTAGTCTTGGTTCAGTGACCGGTCTTCAGGAGCGGCGTCATCCTGTCCCACCTGGTCTGCCTGGTCACGCATGTTGATTTCGTCCGCTAGCTTTTGTGGTAAGTAACCATGAAGCTACCTTATGTCTACGTCGTTGTATGAACACTTGTTCTCGCAGCCCGTGCCTTAGCTTGATCCTTCCATGTCCCAAAGTTGGATGGCCTGCATATTGAGCTAAGTTGTTTCCAATAGGATTATGCGATGACAAGTTTGTATTCTCGTTCCAAGTCTCGTGTCTGCAACACGGG